GAAGCCCCTTCCTTCCCCTGAGCAACGGGAACACGTCAAAGACCCCAAATTGGTGGGGTTTGCCCTGCCCTGGCATCTGCGGCATCAGCGACCACAGGGTGAGCTCAGAGTCTACCCCCAAACTGCCCCCCCACCCCGAACGCAAACCCCCACTCCCTGCCAGCCCCCCGACCGTGATACCGAGGGACCGGTCCCCACCGCAGGGGACAGGCAGGTACCCGGCCCCATTCCGGCACTTTTGGCAGCTGGAACTGGGTCCAGCTCAGCCCCGCAGCGACCAGCCGCTTCTCATGGTCCATCCCGCGCTCCCACCCTGATCCGAAGCCCTGGGGGGAGCAAAAGCCAGGACCCCCGGAGACACAGGAGCAGGGAAAAAGCAACAAGCGCCCCAGGAACAACCCCGTTTCCCACCAGGGGATACGGAACCGTACAGGAGCAGGCACGACACCGTGTCCGACACCGCAGATCCGAGTGCTTTTAATAACAGATGCTGGAACAGGCGGCACCTGACAACAGCCACCCCCACACCACTCCCCCCCCCAGCCCCGCAGCGCCAGGGGAAGCTGGCAGGCCAGGCAGTGCTGTGCCGGTGCGTCAGACATAGTACTGCAGCCCGAACTTCTCGTTGTCCATCTCGCTGGTGGGGCGCAGGTAGTAGAGCTCGTCCACCGTCGGGGGGACCCAGCGGTCGGTGTGGAACAGGGACTCGCCGACCTGGATGGGGAGAGAGCGCTGGAGAGGGGATCGGCGTGTGTCCCCCCCCCCGGCTATAAGCCCTGACGGGGGGGACCACGAAGACAACAACACACGAGCTTTTACCCCTCAGTGTAGCCCCCCCACGCTGCTGGCTCCTGGGGGGAGCTTCTTCAAACCCAGGCGATCGGAACTTTCCAAGAGATCCGACACGGACCCAAACCCACCAGGATGGGGATAAACCGAGGGGCAACCTCCGGCACGACCCGAGAGTCACAAACCTTCCAGCCAGGAACGTCCTTCATGATTTTGGCCTCTTCATCCAGGTTCTGCCGCAGCAGGCGGAGAGTTCTGCAAGGCGGGGGGGGGGGAAGGCTGAGCCCCCACGCGTGGGGACGTGATGCCCGGTGGGTGTCCGTCCGTCCCCCCTCCCGTTACCTGCGGTCCGACTCCGCCTGCAGCAGCGGCATCAGGGCGATCCGCGCCTCCAGGTCCTCGATGAGCAGCCGCCTGCACCGGGAACGGGGCGGGGGGGGTGTCAGAGCTCAGCGGGGCACCGCGGGGGGGGGTCCCGGGCTTCAGGGGAGCACTGAGGGGCGGAGGGGGGGAATCCCGGGGTGCCAGAACCGGTGAGCCCCCGGGTGGGAGAGCAGGGTGAGTCCCGGACAGGGGACGCGGAGGAGGCGGATCGCGGCGGGGGGTGAAACGGGAGAACCGGGGGCGGAGGAGAGTCCCGGGGAGGGAC